CCTCGCTCATCTCTCTCCCCTGACTCCTCACCGCTTCCTTGATTACTTCCTTTAGCTCCTTTTTTATTTCCCTCAGCCCTTCCATCATCACCTTCCTCCATTCCTCTCTTCCCTCTTCATCCCCTTCTCTCTTCCCTTCTCCATTCGCCTTAATTTCTTTTCTTTTTTGAGGCGACCTTTGAAGCTCCTTTTCTAAATACATACCAGTCTCCCTCCCCCTCCTCTTCCCTTTCCTCCTTTCCTATCGAATCTCTTTTTCTGTTCCACATCTTGTCCAAGCTTGTACTCCCTTCGCTCTCCTCTCCTCCATCTCCCATTATCTCCTTCTTTCATTTCATTATTTTATCTTTCCCTTTCTCCTCCATTTCTCTCTTCATTCCCTTGCCTATCTTCTCCTTTTTCTCTTCGCCTAGTCAACCCTACTGGCTATTCTTCCCTTATCTATATTTCTTTTCCTATTCCTCCTGTTCTTGCCACACTTTCCTTCACTTAGTTTCTATCCAGATATCTCTTCCTTTGCTCCTTTCTCTCCTTTCTCACCCCCGCCCCCCTCCCTCCTCTATTCTTTCTAACCTCTCTACACCTGCCTCCTTTCTCCCTTCTTTATTCCCTTTCCTCACCTTCCCATACCTCACCCACACTTTCCTACCTATCTTTCACTCCACTTTTCTCCTCCTCTCACCCACCTCACACTCTCAATCACTCTTTCACTCTCCTTCACTCTTTTTCTCACTCGTGCTAAAATCGCCAGTCACTCGCACTCGCTCCGGAAACAGAAGTCTCAATGATTGGTAAATGATAACAATGAATCTTTCGATTCTAATTCTGATGCCAACATTGCAATCATTCCACATATCTATCTATCTTCACTCTCTCAATCCGCTGACTACGAAAAATTTCCTGTCCCTGACCCACAGTCGCTCACCGTTCTCCTTATCAGGAAAAAGAGACAGTTAAATAGCCGTGAGACGATAGCGCGTCTGACCTCGAACTCGAGCTGCGCACGCGACAGCGTAAGATAAGTCTCTTTCCGCGACCCGCTCCCGGCGCTCGTCGAGATCAATCTGCAATTGCTTCACGTTTACGAAGCAATCAAACAGTCAACCCGACACCCACATTTCCAAAAATCTTTCCGCCTCTCGAGACTCGCGAAACTCTCGATAAAAACCTTCCCGAAACTCCTCCAGAATCGCCAGACCGGCCCTCTAAATTTCCTGAGCCTTCTGACACATCTTCTAACGTAGTGTCCAGCGTCGTACAGCGCGCTCAGCTGACGCTCCGTCCCCCCAGCTTCCCGCCGATTCTCCAACGCGCTCTCTTCCTTCGTCTCTTCCTCCTTCGCCTACACACATCCGCGCTCGGACGACGGCGCAGAGACAGTATCATTTCCAGGCGAAATATCTAAGCAAACTCTTCCTGACGAATTCGACATACCATTAGAAAGTACCGCATTGCAAAACGAAAATAATATATCCAAGAAAATAATATATCCAGAATCAGAAACCGATGTCAAACTCGAAAACGACCCAGCCATTAGGATCGCCATTAAATCTTACGACTCTCACCATTCGTGAAAGTCGAGACGACATATTAGCTCACTGAGATAACATGGTAGTGTTATCCACAGTAGACGCACGGTCGACAGAGGTGCTCAGCTCCTTACAAAACTAAATAAAATGCCGCCTCTAACTGAACTAACTCTCGGCCGTGGCCACGTGCTCGCATTTGAGAACACCGGGAAAAATCTAATCGTTTTGTTCGTTAAGGAACATTCTATCTTATTGGATTTTGATATTTTGACCGAGTTCTCACTTTTTGCGTGGGCAAACTATGCAAAGCCGTAAAATAAGCCGTGAAATGGGGCCTATTCACACTAGAAAGTGCGTGAGTCAGTTGCAAACAGCACTTGAAATCGCTTAAGTGCACTTGTATAAAGTTCCGAGTTCTCACTTTTCCCCAAGACAGACTATACAAAATCGTGAAATAAAGTCTACTCTCGCAAAAAAATGCCTGTGGTGAGACAAGAAAGATTATCCGTCTTTGTCTAACTCATGCGCTTTTTTGCGTGAGTAGACCTTATTGCACGGCTTATTTTACGGCTTTGTATAGTTTATACACGGAAAAGTGAGAACTCGGAACTTTTCACAAGTGCACTTAAGCGATTTCAAGCGCTGTTTGTTATAAATATCTTTTTATTTATAAATGGCACGCAAGAATTATCAGTGTGGCGTTCGTCGCTGATTTGCCATAACAACGCCGTGTTGTTGGATGCTTTGCCTGATCGTTCAATGACTTCTGACGATCTTGATGAATGACACCCATATTTATAATATATTTTTATGTAAGGTGTAGTAAAAAGAAATCCATTATTTTTGCATGAAATTGAAGGCTTTATTTAGCATAGTTAGAATGATCCGATTTAGGTCAAATATGCACGTTTTGTTCGATAACTTGTCATTTTGAAGGTAATTCCATTATGCCTCTCTCATAGAAACCCTTGTCCCTATTGGTAAAAAACTGGGACAGTCGATTTTCACAAGCTTCTCTTCAGGCGAATTTTTCACCAGCAAAATCATTCGCCATAGACAGGAACAGGTGATAATCACTTGGTGCCAGGTCCGGACTATAAGGTCGATGCATAAGAACCTTCCAACCAAGCTCCCGGAGCTTCTGGCGAGTTACTATCGATGTGTGTGGCCTGGCGTTGCCTTGATGGAACACAATTCTTCTCCTATTGGCCAAAGCTGGCCGCTTCTAGACGATTGATTCCTTCAGACGGTCCAATTGTTGACAATACAGGTCCGAATTAAGAGTTTGGCCGTAGGGGAGCAGCTCATAGTGAATGATTCCCTGCAAATCCCACCAAACACACAGCAAAGCCTTCCTGACCGTCAATCCTGGCTTGGCCACCGTTTGCGCCGACTCACCGCGTTTCGACCACGACCGTTTTCGCTTGACGTTGTCGTAAGTGACGTTGTCGTAACTTTTCATCACCAGTCACCATCCGCTGCAGAAATGGGTCGATTTTGTTGCGATTCAGCAGCAATTCGCAGATGGAAATTTGGTCCATGAGGTTTTTTTGCGTTAACTCGTGTGGCACTTATACATCGAGCTTCTTTTTGTATCCAGTCTTATTCAAGTCGTTCCTTATTCAACGGTTTTTGTGCAATGTTTAGCTCCTGGGCAATCGAAACAGTGCTTACATGACGGTCGGACTCGACGATTTCCATTATTTTATCGACATTTTCGACAATTGGCCTTTCAGAGCGTGGTGCATCTTTGATATCAAAATTACCGGGACGGAATCAACGAAACCAAAATTGCGCGTGATTGACTGTTACAGTATCAGGACCATAAACACTATTCACATTTTCAGCCGCCTGGCTTGCGTTTTCGCCTTTATCAAAGAAAAACTGTAAAATATGGCGTATTTTCTCTTTGCTGGTGTCCATCTTTGACGCGCGCTCAAACAATACTGAGTCAAACAATCACAAAACTGTCTGAGAAGGTTTTTTATTACGAAATCTTATCTTTCTAACGCCATCTAGCGTAAACCGATCGCACTTATACAACGCGAGATACACATTACTAAAGCCATCTATTGGAGAAATAATGGATTTCTTTTTACTACACTTTATATTATGCAAATAACATTCTAATACAATACAAAATCATTTTACTTGCATGCGTACGTGTGACTATACCGAATGTAACATCTTTGGACGAAGAAAAAAAACTTTTTGCAGAAAAGATGTTGACATTTATTATTGCCTGCATAAATTTTTATCGGATTTATTGCAAATTATGCGTGATAGACATTATATTAAAAAACTGTCATCAGATTTTTTATTATTGTTCTGAAGTTTTACATTTTTTACTGGAAAACCAATCGACCCTGAAAATCCAGATAAACATGACAGTGGCGTTTTTTACTTCTATATAGTGATAGAAACTTTGATACGCGAGCAGCATGCATCAGCACGGGAAGGAATACGCACCACTTACGCGACCGTGTCCATAAACCTCATGGACACGGTCGCATGAGTATGTACGTATCCCCTCCCGTGCTAATCGCGGATAAAAGTTTCTATCATTGCTGTGTGCCTGCCGCTGCGATTGTCAACTCGCCGGTAGTGAGACAAGAACAGACAGAAATTCGTGTCTTTGTCTAACTCATACCAGTCGTAGCACAGAACCTCATCGCGTTTACCATCGCAATCGGTACACTGGACAAGGTTCTGATTCTCACCAAACTAATTATGACTCTACGATCGATTTGGAGTTCTCGGCTCCGGAGTTAGGAGCCTTAACTGGTTCGCAACGCGCGAAAAACTAGTAAACATCTTTGCTGAAAAACCTATCATTATTCAATTTGCTCAAGTCTCACTACGTGTCTCCTGGAAAACGAACGACCGTAAATTGTAGCTAAAAATCATAGCTCCGCGTTCGGTGAACACAAAGGCATAACAAAAACTTATCGTCGTATTCAACTAAATTTTATTGAGATCACTTAAAACTTCAAATTCAGGAATATATCCGACGATGTCGTACATGTCAACTAAAAAAATTAATCCGCTTGAAAACTCGCCAACCAATGATCCTGACTGATACTCCTGATGTCGCTTTCGATAAAGTTGCTCTCGACATTCTTGGCCCTTTACTTAAAACACGAAATGAAAAGGTTTACTTTCTCACAATCCAAGGTTTACTTACTAAATATTCACTTGCTATTCTATTAGCTCATTTTACCTGAGGCAACCGCCGCCACCTTCGTTAATAATTTCATTTGCCGATTTGGTTGTCCTAAAGGTTGTCCTATCTTAGTCGATCAAGGTACAAATTTTACAGGCCGCGTAATGCGAGAGATCGCCAAGCAATTTAAAATTAAATACTTTAGAACCACCGCTTTCCACCCTCAATATAATGGCTCACTTGAGCAATCTCACCACGTCCTTTGCGAATACATAAAATGTTTCATTGACAAGAAACGAAATTGGGACTCTATAATAGAACTATAACAGCTTCGCGTACAATATCAGTGTTCACGAAGGTACTGGCTTTATACCGCATGAGCTTATCTTTGGTCGAACCATCCGAATGCCTTCCAATTGTCCTAATACTTCTTCACTCAACCTACCACTTCTTCACTCCAGTTACCTAACCAATCTTTTCACCCGCATCCGTGACTTGCAAATCACCGCCAAACACAATCTGGAACAGGCAAAAATCAAATAAAAAACTTATCATGACCGTCGTCTTAATAAACAGAATTTCCAAATTTGAGACCGCGTATTTTTATTAACGCACTCACCTCTCAAGCTTTCCGACCAATATTCCGGTCCCTACGAAATGCTTGAAGTTCTTCGAGATGGCAACATTCGTATCCGCGTTCGTAATTCTTCTAAAGTTGTTCACCCAAACAGATTACGTATAAGTAAACTTACCGAGCAAGAATAAGATCTAACGCTAAAAAAGATTAAGATTATTTTATTTCTTTAAGGTCAACAACCTGTCCTCACATTAAAGTCTAGTTCTTTTTATAATTGTTCTCGATACTTACCGAAATTCTCAGACGTTCACTTCTTTGCATTAATATTTCTTAATAATTGCAGACCTGAATCATTACTTATCGTATAAATAGATTTTTCATTGCATCACACACTTACACTGATTATTTGTTTAAGGAAAGTCGCAAATATACAGTTATCTAGATCTTCTGACGCTTGCGCACACTAGGATCTTCGTCCATGGAGAAGGCCCCATTATAACAATTATTTATAAACAATTGCCAAAACCACCAGATGTTCACGCTTGCTGAAAATATCACCACATATTAAACCCGCAACAAAAATCGATTTTCCAACGCCTACAGCATCCGAAGTAAAATCATTATGGAGGCATCCGTCTACCTTAATCTCAAGGATTGATACATTTCTATCAAAACAAATCAGGACGACCTAAGATTCATTGAGATGCGTTCAAACTTGTCTTCAACTTGTCATCAACAACGACCACTTCAAAATCTACTGTCATCAAACGATAAGTGTCCATGGAATGTAAAATCATATATCATACATGATATGATATACATAATATGTATATCATATCAAGATGCGAATCAACCGATAGACATAGAATCATCTCACCCTATTTCATCTTTTTTATTGTCTTTCAATAATCTAATGTCACCTCATGCAAATACTAGAATAAATTGTATGATATTACATTTCGATTTATAACAAAAATTTAAAATTCAGTATTATACAAATTTCTTAGAATAATTCATTCGCTGAACATGCGCGTATTCATAAAAAATTCAAAAGCTTTCAGATATTTCTGGAAATTGTTTACGTTAAAGAATGTACTAAACATAAATTAACATACTATATTAAAATGTAATCGTTTAAAAAAAAATCTTTAATATGATAAGTTTCGGAAAACGCGGTTGCGTTAGTTTTAGCCAATCCGATTTTATATTTCGAGTTATATATATTTTAATAGATACCGATGCATCGCCATCACCGCTAAAAAGATGGCGCATACAATTGAACACAGTTGAAAAAAAGAATTTTTTTATAGCGTTTTGATGAGTAAAATTAAGAATCTGTTATTAAATTTAATAATTTTGAAGATATTTTATAATATCAGTACTAAAAGGCATAAAGTAGTTATAATGTTTCATATTTACCATAAAATCTTAGAAAAAAATATGATATTTAATGTTTTCTTCCGCTTTATTTTGTTTATATTTCATATAATTTGCTGTTTAATTTTCATACTCAATTATGAAACATAACACGTTATAAAACATTAGAATTCTTTTGATATTAGTAATACGAAATTGAGAGCAAACTGCAGAAGCCTCGATCGGCAACGAGAAGCGTATTTATAATTCGATTTTTCGTAATTGCATGTTTTAAATGTAATAATTTGGTTAATAACTTTCGCAACTTAGTTCTGTAAAAAGAAAAATCACTAGTCAATGTATTCCCGTCGACGTCGTTAGGCGACTCCTAAAATCCTGTCATCACAAATTATCTATTACCATCCCCAACTAATCCATATTCCTATCTCCTAAACTAAGATTCTAATAACCCGGAAACGTGGAACACTAGTGGACTGTAACCTGCCATCATCTACTGCGCACAGCGTGGATATTGGATGGACGAGCTCAACATCGAAATCAACAGCCATCCTGTCATCGAGACGATTGAATTTCTCGCTCGACATATTCGGAAATACGAAGACGTTTAATCCAACAATGAGAAGATTATTTGGCGGACTCATATAATTCGGGACCGTTATGTCTGCGTTCAACTAAGGTCGTTGCGTAATTATACACGATCGACCGCGAGCCCGTTGCTTACGCCTGCACTTAGCTCGCGACACTACCGTGTCGCTTGATGCATATACGTGAAACGGAATGCCGCGTAGATTGTCGCACGCGCACGTATGTTTCGTGGGAAAGGCCAGTACAATATGTCGTTTGTCGAAGTCGGATATCGGAACGTAATCGATGGTCCAATAAGAAGAACTTGTTTATGAAAAATAAACTCTTTCATTGGACTATCAACTGCACTTCGACGTTCGACTCTGACAAACGATGTATTGTAAAACCTAAATGCGGCCTAAATGTGCCCCAACACTGCACGAAACCGACAAGTCGGAAAACGGCTAACTACAGCCAATCAATCAAACAACCCATTAAAAGATATGAGAAAAGTGGCCTGATTAAGACCATTGCAACAAATACCCAGTGAGAAATGATCGAAACGATGTCGAATCGATATCAAAGTCGTTACAACGATATAAATTCGATATCGTTTCAACGTCGAACAAAGAAACCAGATAGCAGACTCACGTCAAAATGACATCCAAATATGATCAGTTCATGACCAAAAGTAACTAAGGAATGAACAAAAATGTCGTGAAAGTATCGTCAAAATGACGGTCTAATGTCACAGACCGATGACGATATTTTAAAACGACTTGATGAATATACAGAAACGTCTTTAAAACGTCACAAAAAAGACGTCTTAAAGATGTCGTTATTTAGTCACTTGACGTCAATCGACTAGTTCTTGACGTTATTTTGACGTGAGTCTGCTACTTGGGAAGCATTTCTCTCTAGTATGCGTTAAATATAAAATAAATGTTACATAAATGTAAAATGGTTATTTTCATAAATATTAATTAAAACGATTTATTAATATTAAATAAATATTAAATAAACGTTAAAAATGTTACATAAATGTAAAATGGTTATTTTCATAAATATTAATTAAAACGATTTATTAATATTAAATAAATATTAAATAAACGTTAAAAATGTTACATAAATGTAAAATGGTTATTTTCATAAATATTAATTAAAACGATTTATTAATATTAAATAAATATTAAATAAACGTTAAAAATGTTACATAAATATTTTTCATAAATCGTAATTTTAATATAAATAATTTTAAAATGAATAATTAATGTAATATAAATATTAAATCAATACTAAAGAAATGTTTATTTAAATATTATTTTAAATGTTTTTTTTATTGTTAAATAAATATTAAATAAACATTAAAAAAATGTTATATAAATATTTTTCCTAAATCGTTATTTTAAATGTTTGATTAATGTAATACAAATATTAAATCAATATTAAATAAACGTTTCTTTAAACGTTTTAATTAATTAACGTTATTTTAAACGTTTTAATTAATGTCAAATAAACGTTAAATAAATGTTATATAAATATTCTTCTTAAATCTTTATTTTAAATGTTTTAACCACTTGATTAGCACGTGCGCCAAAAAACGCATCCGTGCCACAACTGGCACGTGCGCCAAAAATCGCGCACTTTATGCGAGAATTTTCAAATCACGATGCATTATTGTCTGTTTAATATGCACGGAAAATTCTTTCTTTTACATTGATTTGAGAACTAGGGTTATACTCCGGGGTCGTAATTCACATTACCAGCAAATGCGCAAAGGTTAACTACGTTTATATGTTTTAGAAATGTTTATTACAATTTGACTTAACAAACAATATTATAAAAGTATAATCTTAGTTCTCAAATCAATGT